ACATTTCCCATCATATCACTATTCAAAATCAATTCTTCTCCCAAAAATCCCTACCAAACAGGCTCTATACATTTTTATAATTTTATTTATACAATCATACGGGCCAAACCGGAACGAACCGCGACCCGCACGACCCGTGACTCGCATGGGCTCGACCCGGATGGGTCAGCGGGCGAGCCTGGGTTGTAGTCCAAAATTGTGGGCCGACCCGTAACCGGCCCGGAACCCGCAGCGGGCGGGCTTTTTTTCATGCGGGCCGTTACCGGGCTCACATGTTGGCGGGCCGACCCAGCCCGGACCACCCGGATTGACACCTCTAAATCCAAATATGAAATATCCCATTCTTTTTGCCGAAAGCCAGTTGAGACTTGAGAGGCGGGAATAGGGAGAGTTGGAGTATTGGAGACGATGCGACGAGGGTTTTGGGCTGATGTTTTTGACGCCGTCGACTCGGTTTGGAGGACGGTAGAGGCTCAAGGCTGGAGCTGTGAGATTTAGGCTGGACTCTGGAGCAGTGGAGTGGTCCGATTGGAGCTTCCGGGTTCAGGAATCGGGAGCTTCCGGAATCCGGCTTCGTCTCTTCTAGCGGTTCTGCCTGCGGCTGCCTGAAGTATTGACTAGTGAGGTATCATGTATGTATTTTAATTTGCCTATTTCCTATTTCCTATTTGCTATTAATGAATTATGAGAAATGACTAAATGTGAATTTAAGGATTTTTGGGTGCATTCTGTAGAGTGTAGGCTGTATATTTCTGTTTTTATTTTATTTTATTCAGTTTTTGTTAATTTATGAATTATGAGAAAAGAGAATTTATGTTATATTATTGTTTGAGATGATGAGTTATGACTTATAATTTTGAATTGTGTTTGTGTATTGTGAAATGTGAATTGTTCGAGTGGATTTTCATATGTATATACTTTTTACGTTTTAATACATTTATATATGTATCGAATCATATTTTCGGCTATTACGATCGTGAATTGTCGACGGTCATCAGTCACCGGTCAACGATCTCCGCGAACCAAATTCCTGGATTCGCCCCTGGTGTCATGAATGTTGTGGCTACTCTCCTAATGTTCCTATTTCTGTCCTAATATTGTTTAGAAAATTTCACACTACCCTTTAAAAAGACGTCGTATAAATGGGCGTGCGTGTGCGAATATGTGCCTTAGGCTCGCATGTTTGCCACGGGCTTCCACAATTGGTTATCTCATATTATGTAGAACAACAAAAGCATATATACTTTCATTTTATATAGAAAAATTTCAGCTTTGTTCTCATGATTTAAATTTTATGCATATTTACCTTTGTCTTTTTCTTTTTCTCTACATTTTTATATTTTCTAAATTGTTTAATTCCTATTCAAGGATAAACAAAAGCGTGCATATTTTTTTTCTCAATTTTTTTTTCAATTGATTCAGCGAAGAAGATTCAAGTGAAAATGATTTTGTATATATGAATGATTGTGTATTTATGAATGTTGGAGATAAGTTTATGTTAGTTATTTTGTTGCCAACGAAAGAAATATTATGGACACAACACCTTGCAAAACATCATTGCTTGCCAGAATAATCAAATTTATCGAATAAAATGTCATGAAGCAATTTTTAAAAATTTCAAATCAAAGATGTTTTTTCAGATTTTTGTTTTGAGAAATAGTTTTTCAGAATGACAAAAAAAATGCGTATTCTGTAAGCTTAGAAGAGACCCTAAAAAAAGTTGAAAATACAACGCATTACTCAAAATTGAAATACAAACCAAAATGAGTTAGTGTTTGTTTGATACAAATTTTTTAAAGTGAAAAATGATATTTTTAGAATGTGTAATTAAAAACTTAATAAACATTATGAGTTCAATAAAATGTATAACTAAAAATTATTTAGGTCAAAAATAATTTTATAAAAATGTCAGTCCTCTTTTTGGTTTGCACGTTCAGTTTTAAGTTTTGAATTCATTTTTAGTTTTGTGTTTTGATGGTCCGTTTTAAGATTACCAAAAACGTATTTGGTTTGTCATTTTGAAAAATAGTTTCTCAAAATGGAAAACATATTTGGTTTGTTATATGACATTTTATTCAATTAATTTGATTATTCAGTAAAATGTAATGATTTTATGCTATTATATATTAAGTAATGTATATAGATTTTAAAGTTCGTGAATTTTAGAATATTTTTTCCCATTACAAAAATAAAATACACTGACTAGACAAAAAATAGAAAATAAAAAAATAAAAAAAATGATGTAAATCTAGAATAGTAGAACCAATTTTATGTCTATGCCACCACCTTTGGGGTCCTGTAGTTGCCTCCATATTTGCGGCCTCTAATTTATGATCTGAGGGTGTGTTCGAGCCACATTATTTTGGAAAAATGTAATTTGGAATAGTAGATTAATAAAAAATGTATGGTTGAAAAGGAAGGAAAAATTATTGATGTGATTGAAAATATTATTTTATTGAAAAATGTGTGGTTGAAAATGAGTAAAAGAATGAGAATGAAATATTTAATGTGCCCCAAACGGGGGATGAAAGTGGCTTTTACAATTTTGGTTCTAAAATTTTGGATCCAATAGGCTAAGATTTTGGGGCTCTATATTGACGGTGGTGGTGATGACGACATCATGGAAGAGAAAAGGGAAGAATGGTGGCATGGAAGGGAAAAGGAAATGGAAGGGAAGGGGTGATGTAGTGGTGGCGGCTACGGCATGTGAGGGATATGATAGTATTTTTATGGCATTGGCAGTTGTGGAAAGGGTATGGGTGTTGGCGGCAGCGACGGCGGTGGCGGAGGAAGGAGGTTCAACAAGGATGTGGTTTGGCTAGTAAGGTGTTTTTTTAAAAAAAAAAAAAATTAATTAATTTATCTTTTACCTTGGATGCATTTGATTTGTCATTTGAAGGAAGAATTTGATTACTTTTTGGTCATAAATTTAATCTTATTTTTAAAAATAAAATTTCAAAAGTATTAAGAGCCTGTTTGTCATCCATATGGTGGAGAATGTTACTGTAGCAAACAATGTTTTGAAATAATGGATGACAAGCAGGGGCGAAATAGATTGAAAACAGTAAATAATCAAAAGCCGTTTCATTCCTCCCCAACCAAAAAAGGAAAATGAGTGAAAGAAAAAGTAATATAAGAGTCTGTTTGAACCCCATTGTCATTGAAGAATACATTTTGAAGTAGTAAATTGATATAGAATGTGTGATTAAAAAAATAAAGAAAAATTTTGAATTTATACAAAATATTATTTTATTAAGAATTTGTAGTTGAAAAAAATAGAAAGAAAAATCTATTTTGAAAATATTGAGATTAAATAAGTTCAATGGACAAAACTCGACATTTTAAATTTCAGTAAATAATTGGAGACAAAAATAGGTTCAGTGACTGTTGGAACAATTAATTCAAAGTTTTTCAAAATTTGAGAACTCGTACAACGTTTTTCAAAGTTCAGTGGTTAGAACTCGAAATTTTAAATTTTAGCTAGCAATCGAAAATATAAATATTTTCAGTGATCATTGGAACAATTATGCTATTTATATCCTTTGAGATACACTTTAATTTATTCGACTCCACCTCATCCCTCACATGGGGGTCGGGTCCCACATCCAATAAATGCGTGAAACCCAATCCCCATGTGAGTGAGAGGTCGGGCCTGGTAAACTAACACGTACCCTTTGGAATACATGTTGCAAGGTTGAAAAATGTATTCGAAAACAACTATGAAACAAGCTAAAATAGTGTACTAGCGTCTAGGAGTACTATTTGTTACAGACCCTAACCTTAAAGCTTCCAAATCGACAACTTCAATTATATACTCTCTCTCATCTTAGCGATGGTATGCTCCGTATCGACGGGGAAATCCGGTCCAAACTGGCTAGACCGGCTTCGTTCCTCCAGGGGCTTCCCGTCCGGCGAAGCTTCCAATCTCGAGAATTTCCTCAACAACCCGACTTCACCGGACCTTAAACAACCAGATCCAATCTCGGACCACAACCTTGACCCGAATCCATCCAAAAATGACCCGGGTTTTGATCGAATCCAGAAGGAGGATAACCAATTGTTTGATGTAATGACCAATGTCCTCTTCGAGCTCTTCAATTATGGAGACTCCAATAATGGTAATTTTCCAAAAATCAAGAAATCCTGTCGAAAACAATCAAACCCTAGAATTTATATCCCTTCGAATAATGACATTAATGAGAATGTTAAAGTGCATTCCGAGAAGGAGTCAAGAAGTGATGATGATAACAGTCAAGTGGCCGGGGTAAAGGAGTCGAGTGAGAATTTAGTATTAAGAAGAAATGAGGAGGAAGGTGATATGAGTAAAGGGAATCTGTCAGGATTTTCGCTGACTGAGGTGACTGTGATAGACACGAGCTATAAGTCGTGGAAATTCGAGAAATTGTTGTACAGGAAGAAGAATGTGTGGAAGGTTCGCGATAAGAAGGGCGCAAGTGTGAATGTGGGGAGTAAAAAGAAGAGGAAACAGAGCGCAAGTTTCATGAACGGGGAGAAGAAGCAGAAGGTAGTAGATAAGGAAGGAAGTGGACGAGAGCCTGAATTCGCGTCGAATGAAGTAAGTTTGATTGATTACATTGCTATTTGTTATAGAAATGATTTCTGTTTGGACAATGATACATTGATATATAATCTGTAGTTTGTCTAATAAGGAATGTATTGCCTAATTGGATGTGCAGAGCACAATTTTTATTGTTACTTCACTTAGGACATTGAAGCTCTTTAATCAGTGGCAGTATGGGATCTAACTATAATATTTGTCTAATCTTCTATCTAACTTAAATAATACTGTCATCTTTTCATTTAGGACTGTGAATTGGTAAAATTTTGTATGGGTACTATGTCTTTTGAGGATTCAGAGTTGCACATAGTTTTGTTAACTATATAACACAAGTTGAGCTTTGGCTACATCTAACTTAAATTGCGTATTCTAGAGTTTCATTGACATTTTCTGTCAATTCCAGCTCCTTAGGCCGGAAATTATAGTGTTATGCCTCGGATTTTCCATGACTATATTTTGGGTTTGTTTTAAGATGTTCTAGAAATATTTCTCATCTGATCTAAATATCAACATGGTCTAGTCTCAGATTAAAGCTGAAGTGTTACAAAGGAGATAGGTTCTTACTTAGCCTAACGGCGAGCATAGATCCTTTAATATTTGGCACTGCTTGTAAACTTTTACTGTATTGTTGAATTCCAATTGTCTTGATAAAAGGAACTTATTTGAGGTTAATTGTACATTGTTTGTGTAGGTAACATATCCGACAAATAAATCTGTTGAAGGTCATGAAAAAGTTGTGGACACAGCCGGCAAAATTCTCAAAAAGAAGGAAGCAAACTTGTAAGTCACATTCTATGTCCTTATAACACGCTCTATCAGAATTCTATATCTTATAATGGTCATATCGCTGGCTATCCAGGAAGTCAGAAAAAGGAAGCACTCCAGTTATTCTTATTAAGAGTATTCCCCCCAGTAAGAAAAATGGAACAAGCATTACCAAAAACTGTATCAAGTCAAAACAGAATAAACCTTGAGAAGTACGCTGTTTGGAAGTTCTGAGGCAGGAGTTGCAAGTCGTCTGGATTGTAAGCTTGAGTATCTAAAAGATTGGAGAATGAGCACCAATTTGAGGCTTACAACCTGTTAGATAAGGAATTCTTTATTATGTATGTTCTTCCCGTGTCTCGGTCTCTATATTTTTATAATTATTTTGCTCTATGCAACCCAGGAAGGGGAAGAGAGGGCAATGTGGTCTGTATTCAACATCAAGATGCATTTTAGCTAACTTGTTGGTCAACAATATCATTGGAGACTAGTGGTCTTTTGTAAGCTAATGAAGTTCATTTCAATGCAATTGGCAAATACTCATTAGTTTTTGTTATAAGTTGATTGATGACAAAGGCATCATGTTTTTTGTTTACTTTAAATATCCCAGTTTTGCAGAAAAGAGAGAATCGTTGTTTAGCCGGACCATCAAATGCTCAAGTTAACAGGAGTATTTTTTTCGAATAGCAAACTTAAGTAAATTTTCATTATAAACATGTTTTCTTGTGCTTAAAAGTATGTTTTCTTTTCGTGTATATAGTACAATGATTCGAACATAGGAGTCATGTCATTCCTTATCATGCGCACTAAAGCATCAATTCACCTGTACTTGGTTGCTACGTTTCATTCTACTTGGGAACATGAAAGCTGAATCTGAGAAGTAGTTGAGTGCTTGTTTTATTGATGTGGAACAGCTCCACTTTGTGTTCTCGTTCTTTTCTTCTTTCAAATTGTACTAGAAAACCTAAAACCGACCAAATTTTATCTCCTCTAAGGTTTTTGTACGAGTTCCACCCAACTCGTTCATTTTTATGCAATCCGAAGCATTCTTAGTTGGATAGGACTTTAACTACATTGAGCTAATTCTAATAGTGTGTTTGAATTCAAGTTTTTTTCTGCATTATTATGCTGCTTAGGTGCCACTAACATCTCATTTAGAGGGTGTTTGGTGGGGATTAAAATTAGAGTTTTAGTGGATTGTGATAGAAGTTTTTGAAATGTGTGGTTGAAAAGATGTGGGACCCATGAAAAATGTGGTTAATATTGATTGTTTGACTTTTGATTTGGATTAAAATCAGATTTTAATTCGGCCCAAACAGGCCCTTAAAGTGGAAACAGGATCTAATAAAATATAAGTCGTCAATTTCAAACTTATTTTAACCTGTTAAAAGAGAGCATTGCGCACACCTTGAGTGACCAAAATAAATTTCATAGTATTCGGAAATTTCATAACATGATCGGTAAGGACGATCTACAAATTAAAAGTCCAATTTATTCGTTAATGTAGATGAATTAACTAATTATTGCATTTCAAAAAATTTCAAGTTATTTTGGCATACATAAAAGAAACATATATATAACCCACTCAGAGTCAGGCCAAAAAAAAATAAAAAATACACACACACACACACATATATTAGACTGATATATAAAAGCAAAATCATAAAAAAAAATTTATTTACCTAAATCAACTAAATGGGCTTGGGGCTCATGCACTCTGTCTTTGACTATATGGATCTTGAATGAAGGTGATTTCAAATGAAAAAGAGGAAATTACAAAAAATCAGATGTTTAAAAAATGATTTTCAAAAATCAAGTAATAATTTTATATTTTAATTAATATTAAACATAATATTATTAACCCCAATTTTATCAATTCCTCCATTCCTCCCCCTCGTCTCCTCCCTTCTCCCCCTCCCCATCGTCTCTCTCTGTGAAGGGCAGCGTCGCGACGCTACTGCGCGACACTGTGAACACTGCAGCTTCGCGACGGGTGGTGTGTGTGCTGTGGGTGTGTGTGCTGTGGCGGAGTGGAGTTGTGGTGGTGGTGTCGCATCGGGGTGTGGTGGTGGTGTTGATGCTGGTTGTAGTGGATTCAGATCTAGTTGGTGGTGGTGGGTGTGCGCGCTATGGGTGCGGTGGTATTGGGGACGTGGTGGCGACACTGTCGGTGTGTGGTGTTTGACCAGTTGTGGAGCAAATGTGGTGTGTGGTGAGTTGGTAGGTTCAGATCTAGTTTGATGGTGGTGGTCATGTTGTGGTCGTGGTGATGGTTGTGGCAGATACGACGAGATGATCTCTCTCTCTCTCTCGTTAGATCACCACCACCAACTCCGACCATCGTCATCGACCCTAAAGCTCGTGATTATTCGTCCGCTCCTCCCCAACATCGAATAGAGTGTCTCTAGCCTTATAGAAGAAACCCGTCAATGAAAGTGATCTTAAAAATTCTGCGCTACCAGAGCATTAACAAGATATGTAGAAGAGAGTCATTTTTCAAATTTCTTCAATTGTTCTTTTTTCCATGGGTTCTGTATAGCAACTGAAGTGATGGTGTTGGGTTTGGGTGAGGGTGAGGGTGAGGGTGAGGGTGAGGGTGGATTTGAAGTGGAGGTGGTAATGATGATTGTGCATTTGAGGTGGTTGTGGGTTGGGGTGATGGTGGATGTGAATTTGAGGTGGCGACGACGATTTTGAGTAGTGCCGACGGGATGGGGGTAAAATGAGAGTGATCGTAATGAGTTAATTGGATAATTTGTAATTAATAAATAATTTGTGACTTGTAGAAATGTACAATTTGTGACTAAATATGTAATTATGACTTACAATTTGTGTCTTGTGAATTTGACATTGTACGATTTGTGTATGGTCATGATTGTAAATTGTATGTTATTGTGATAGTGACCTGTTTAATTAAATTATAAGTAAGAACAATCACTTGATTTTTCAAAAAGAAATAAAAGAAATCACGCTTTATTTTTAAAATTGCATTTTGAAAACAATTGTAGTTATTTGTTTTTCCATTTCAAATCCCGCGGACTCTGAACTCGTGAGACTTTCCCAACTAGTTTCATGCGGGATATCATTTTAATACGAAGAACAGATTTTGGAACGTCAAGTAGAGAGCCAATTCGGAAAATTGTAACTCACAATCTGTGAGGAGATGGGTGAGGTACTTAATGTCAAAAGAAATCTATTGACCTGAACTACATACATGTGAAATGTCACAATTTTATATCAATCATTCTTATATAAATAGAACGTAAAAGAAATCTGACCTGTAGCTAATGAAAAATCTGCTTTTATTCCAAATTTAATTTTTCGTGTTTTAATTTTTAAAATAGTGATTCCAAAGAAAAACTAAATCGTTAAAATATCTCAAATAATAGCAATAAACGTAAACTTAAAAAATATTCTTATAATATTTTCTTTTCAATTTCCACCCATGCAACCCCCACGCATCATTCTCGATTCCGCGATCCTAATTTTATCCTATAGAGAGAAGTAAACAATGAGTACAAGAATACTCAATGGGAAAATCATCAGCGTAACTAATTTATCCCTTTTTTAAATAAACAAATAAAAAATAAAGAAAAAATAAAAAATCTCCACCTTGATGGCAAATATACCTGCAAAGAGAAAAACAAGTTCAGTAGTCGCATAATGTGATTTCAAACAAATTTGAAACATCACATACATTTATCGATGTTTAGAAGTGTAAGACAACTTCTACACTTTACCATGGGAAACACCTTAGTGCCTATGTCTGCAGTATTATAGTCAGAATGCACTTTGTCAAGTTTTATCAAATCTTGAGATGTTCATAAAACACGAGGTTCTTACACGAATGGATGACAAATTGACTATCAAAGTATATACTCACATTATTATTTGAAGCACCCAGTTCATTAAGAAAACCTTTAAACCACAAAGCTTATTTTACACCTTTACACCACCAAAAAAGGTCTTTCACAACGGGCAAAAAACGTTGCTAATACCCTTTAGCAACGGTCACTCGTCTGTTGTGGGATGCGATGTTGTCGTAGGGTCACAGTCATTTGCAACGGTCGCTGCCCATTGCAAAAAATGTCATTTGCAACGGGCAACGAACGTTGCAAAAAAGGTCTTTTGCAATGGGCAGCGACCGTTGCAAAAAAGGTCTTTTGCAACGGGCTCTGAATATTGCAAACGACCTTTTTTGCAACGTTCGTTGCCCGTTGCAAATAACATTTTTTGCAACGTTCGTTGACCGTTGTCCTTTCTTTTCTCTTTTCTTTTAACAACACTTTTTGACCGTTGCAAATAATAATTTTTTTGTTTACATTAATTTTCTTTTTATTGCAATTACCTGTGAATTCCTTTTTACAGCAATTTGTACATGAGAATTTTAAGACAACAAGAAATTTAAAAGTAACTTCATTAAGACAATAAACATGATCACAAGTACTATTACTTCATCAAAATACAATACGCACTCCAATATAGAAG